TACGTTGTTTACAATATTTAAATAAATCATGGGGTCCAAGGTGTACAATTATGATGCTAATGTTTCTTAGAAATAATAATAAGTAAGAAGTAATTATAAATTACATAAATTATGTAATTTAATAAATCGACAATTATTCTTCCGTAACGTTACTTCAAAGTTAAATTTAGTTACTTGGTAATTTAGGATGCTAATATTTCCCAAAAACTGGCGTTTATATTATTATAAATATATAAATTACGTAGTTTAACGATTCCACAATTATTCTTTCGTAACGTTACTTCCAAGTTAAATTTGAGACTTGGTAATTTAGGATGCTGATGTTTGCATTTTAATGATTCCAATGAATGTTTCTAATTTAATAATTTCGCAACTGTTCTTTTTGTAACATTTTTATAATAATTTTGAAGTGAAATTTGAAACTTGCTAATGTAAAAAAAATGGACAAAAGAAGCAACGCTTCCTCTGATATAATAATGGAGATCTAATGCAATTACGACGAATATTTAAGAATCAGCCAATTATTACCGATCCACTGTTCCCTTTTTGCGAATTCTGTTTAAGTAAGCGATTAAGAGCTCAGATACTTTTACGACGAGCATAATGGATGCGGTGTAAGAAATAATTGATGCCCCGGATGATACACATTAACCAGCGAAACTGTCGTATAATTAACACGAAAAGCGTGATGCGCGAAAATTGTTTAATTAATACTGAAAATAGTCGACGATAATTTTCATATCTCTGCGCGTCGTCGTCGGGGACATGTATCAATTAGCCAAACAGTGATATCATTAAATTTAATTAATAACGGCCAGTTGACTCGGTGTGTCAAGTGCTTGGTAAAATAATTAATGAACATTCCATAGGCGACGTTCTAAGGTACTTAATGGACGCTATAATGTTCTCCAAGGATTTTCGATCTCGCTTCTCCGGTTTCTCTTGAATATTCCAAATTCGAAATTTCGTGCATGAAATACATTTCTTTTTTTTCTTTTGTAATTTTCTCTCTCTGAAAATTTTCATTCACTATTCTAAGTTGTTCGAATGGAGGTACACTTTTCCTCGAGGAAATTACTTTGCCGCGCAATTACTCGAAAGAATGCAAATATTGAAAATAAGATAAAACGATAAATTTCTAATTGCAGCGACTCTTGACGAAGACCGTTTCTGAACCATCGTGCAAATTTACATTTAGCCACGTTGAACACAGTGCAATTGAAATTCTCACCGCGTTAATTAAATTTCAGATTGTACACGGCGTTTTAGCAGTTCACACGATTCGTTAACACCGACACCAAAACACGACAAATTTCCCGCGATCGTCGATAGAATAAACAAAAATAAACGAAATTAAGTAGAATTTTTAATCCCTTTTTTTTTTAAGTTATAACAATGTGTCAGTCACGCGTCACAGATTCTGGTTAAGTATGCAGCAGAAACGATAAATCCATAGGTCATCCCATAAATTCGTATCGAAATCGACAAATATTTTAATGAAAATCCAAGAAAATTCTATAGCGAGGACATAGTGTTTTTACCAGAAAGAATATAAATAAAATAGGAAAAAGTTGCATTTATAAAAAAATTGTAATTTGTCTTCCATCTTATTCGCTCTTTGAAACCGTTTAAATTAGGTATAAAAATATTCTCCTACCGTCGTGACTAGAGAAAATAATTAAGTGACCTGTTTTACATGGAACCAGCTCGTATAATTTGGAATTCTTCTCGATTCGGAATTTATTATCTTATTTATCACATTGGATTTGGAGAAGTTCTACGACCTCCTTGAAAGGAAGTTCCACGGAGGAAGTTCTTTGTTCGAACTATTTGCGAATATAATTTATCGTAATTTTTCTTCGCGTCACAGCGAATCGGTAAACACCGTAACAGTTAAACTTAACAGCCAACAAACTTCTTAATAATGGAACAACGCAATTTTCAACGACGTAAAAGTAACCTTCCTCGCTAAAGGTATTTGACGTCGGTGACATCACGGCGTTTTAGCGATATTTACTCGGCTCGCGCTCTCGATCGCTCCGGAGACACTGTTAAATCATCGTAAAACGAGACCGGACAGGCTTTTACCCGAAGCAACGACGCCTCTTCGTTTTCAGAAGTCGCGAGACTTCCGCAACAACGTCATTTACCGGAACACGCGATTTCATTTTACCGTGTTATTTCGTTTCTAACGCCTGTTACGCGAAATTCTGTCAATTATTACGAACGATATTAACTCTTTTGCGTCCGTACGTCTGCTTTCAACCATCCGTTTTATAATAAATCAAGTTTAGACGAAAGATTTAGTTACCTATTTCGATACGAACCGCACTGTCGGTAACAATTATTTTTAAGGAATATGTTTTTATCGACGTGGCTGGTATTTTGTTATAATTAATACAAAAGAAAACTGAAATATTTATAACGAGTTTCGACACCAGAAATTGTGGGATGAACTAGACAGAAGTGTTCGGAAAAACTGTTGACAAAAAGATCTATGGACACATTTGCAGCGATCCTGGAAAGAAATCCAGGAAGAAAGGAGGATGTTAAAAAAAGGTCAATTTTGGTATACGGCCGGAACGAAAAACTTTTTACAGCATAATTCTACGCATCCTAAGGAACGAAAAATGTTATTGTCATTTTACCCGGAAATGATGGGAAAGTTATGAAAAATGCGGTTCAAAAAAATATCCGCGTATAATCGAAAACGCGTTGTTCGAGCGAGCACTGTATTCCCTACAAGACTATAATCGCGCAGTATAAGCGACATTCGTCGAGGCACTCGTTCGACAGACTGGTAAACACCGACTGAGGACGAGTCGTCCTGCCCGATTTCTAATCACTCGCAACTGTTCTGGAAAAAATTCTAGGCCTTAACTTCTTAGAACGCGTGATATTTCTTGCGAGCCAAACATAAGAAACGCGAGCCTGGGTCGCTGTACGTACATCGAGCCAAACAGAAGCTAGCTGCCTGTTCACGCACAGAAAAGTTTTTATATTACTTTTATTGGCAAACCGAGAACAAACGTCACGCACATGGTCTTAATACAATACAATACGCCATACTTTTTTTCGCTCGACGCATGCGCGATCGCCGCTCCCAACGCCGCTCGGCGGACGCACGCCGATCACGGTAAAAAGACGCGCCCTTTTTAAATTCAAACCGTTACACTGTCCTTTTTCAGTCTTTTTAAGAAAGCATCGCTCAACTCCCTGAGAGTTACGACTCGAATAAACAGTCGATTAAACAGAGTCTTACTTTTTTATTGTATCCCTGTCATGACGATTATTTTATTATATTTATGATAGTTTATTATGACTTCTATCACTTCGAGAATAAATAATTACTGGTTTCTGATCGCTTCGAATATAAGCATTGTATCATCAAAGAATTCCTTGTTTCGATTAATTTGTCATTAATTATTTTTCATTATTTTTGGTTTTTATTAAACACTAATGTACAACAATTTTTGTAAATAATACTCAATATGAGTTTCTAAGTGGTTAATTTACGAACAGACCACCATCCGAAGAAAACGAGACGGAATATAAGTTATAAGTATGGTCATACTCTTACCTTGAACCGCATTTCTCACAACTTTCCCATCATTTCCGGGAAAAATGACAATTACATATTTTGTTCCTTAGGATGCGTAAAATCATGCTGTAAAAAAATTTTTCGTTCCGGCCGTATGCCAAAATTGCCCTTTTTTGACATCCTCCTTTAAAAAATTATTTTGAGCCGAAACGAGGAGTGTACATTGACGAGAAAATTTAAAACTTTGTATGTACAATTTTCAATATATTTTAACATTGAAGAACTATATTCGGTGCAAGTAATCTGTAAATAATCGTTTGATTTAATAACACGGGTGTTTAACGGTGTTAATTTAAACGTAAAGTTCAGATTAGCAGGTGTCCCATGACTTATGGACATAAAACATAATTTTTATATAAAGTGAAACCACATATTATTGCGTTAAACGTATGTAAAATTGAAAAGAAGAAGTAATAAATTTTGTATTTATAATTTTGCATTATATTATCAGTATTCGTTCGATGAAGATCAATTTTGACCAGCTCAGTCCTCGTGTCTGAGTTAAATACGACCGTAAAGTGTTAATATGTAGAAATTAGTTTATTGTTACGCAGCAAAAGCGTTCTTACTTCTTCCTATCGCGAGACAGTTTCTTGCGAAATAAGAAAAAAAATATTTTACCAAGTAGCATTGGTGCGTTATTACGAAATTTGTTACAGAGTGATCTATGTTACAGACTTTAGCAGCAGAAGACTTTAAAGTGTGTGATCCTACAGAAATAAATTTAATTTAGAGTTTTCTTAATCTACGGTACCTTTAGAGTAAGCTTTAAGAGGATCTACTTAGTTTTATGGAAACGTGTACGTGTGTCCGCGTGTTTGTGTGAGATGGATGAGAGTTCGCATTTGGGAAAAGCGGAAGGGAGAGCCTGAGAAAATCGACCCCTGCTAACCGATGAATCACGTGAATCGCGAAGAAGGAGAATCCTTTTTTTCTCTTTTTCCTTTTCAT